GTTAGGAAATTGGCCGTGAGGGTGGGGAGGTTGCTGTCACCGTTCTTTCTTACCAACTGGTTTCCACGATGTGAACGTTTGGATATTTGCTTAATGTGCAGTCCTGTAATCTGTACTGGGCCGCCGCAATGCTCGCTCTGATAAGGTTTTTGCTGCAGAATAAACGTGTTTGCACACTGCTTTGGAACCCTTTGTGGGGGAGGACGGGCCATATTAATGAAAAGTAATTCCAGAAATAACAGACATGTGTCTGTGATAAATCAGAACTGACCAGGAGATCGACGTAATCTGTGGTATCTATACTTTTGCGCAGAAAACCTGTCTTTGGGAGGAAGAAGTTGCAACCTCATCCGAATATAATCCAAGTGATCCGAGCCTTCACGTCCTCAGTCCCTTTGCTGCCCGGAGCCTTCGCAGACTATCCTGATGTTCTTCCTTTAAGCCTGAATCCCAGAGGGATCGGTCACAGCCGCACACTCTTCTTGGTGATGAAGAAGTAGGTAGAGAGAAGCTTGTTAATGCGTCTCGGGCTTTTCATGAGCCTGCCCAGCGGGGCTGTGTATTCTGCTGCTACACAGGTCCTTGCAAAGATTTGGCCTGGGCTGCTGCCAAAAAGCAGAGTACGCTCTTGGAAACGCCTCCTAAGACCTGTTCCAAGTCCTTGAGATTTTAACTCTAGTTTGACAATGAAGACAAGCTGTTCTTTTTAATAATGACCCCAAATTAAAGTGAGAAATGTGGAGCCTGTCCCCATTTGTCTGCCCTTCTAAGTCTAAACTTCACCCCTAGTCTGAACACGCCGCTAGAGATGGAATAGAATCGGTAATGAGATTTATTAGTGCTCGGCATCTCTGGCTTTCTCGGTGGGGTTTGGTTTTGAATGGGTATTGCTGTGGCACTGACATAAAAGCACCTCCTGTTTCCCACTCTTTTGTTCTGCCTGCGTCTGGAGAAGTGCTCTGTCCTCTCTGTATTTCAAGAATATGTTCTTTCTCCTGATTAGCGCATCTCCTCATTTTGCTCATACAATCTGCATTATTAGTCTGCCTCCTCTTTCAAGCAAAATATAACACCAGTACATAAAAACCTGTAAGAATGACCACTGTATACCTGGAGCCGCTCCCCATGCTGTTTAAGAGGCTTCTTTTATTTGCAGTTGTTGAACTCGGGCAAAAGCACTGAAAATTCAGTGGTGGGTGGTGTTGCAAAACAGAGGATTTGAGAACAGCAGACAGGGGAGTGGTGTCAGGTTGAGGCTGGGCGGTGGGAAGGCGTCACAGTGGTCAGGAAGAATTTGGCACATACAAGTGTGCAGTATCCCCAGCCAGCCAGCACTGAGGTTGAACCGCAAGCGGTAAGCTTCCAGGATGCTAATTCTGAGGTTTTCCTTGTTCTGACTAGTTATCCGTGCACTCTGCGCCAGTACCTGAGGGAGAGCAGTCCAGATGTTTGTCTCTCCACGATGATGATTTTACAGCTTTTGGAAGGCGTGGACCATCTTGTTCGACACGGAATAGCACACAGAGACCTGAAGTCTGACAACATCCTGGTTGAATTTGATTCTGGTATGTAGATCGCTGAGTATAAACGGCAATTAAGTCACGCACAGAAGCGATGCAGTCGAGTAGGCATGTGGGGAAGTCCCACCCATCCGTGCGTTTGGGGGAAAAATGAGCATCAAACCCTTTGAAGAATCTCAGGTTTAGTTTTTAGCTTACCGCTTGCTGTCAGCGGGGAAGTCATTTATCCTGTTTGTGCCTCTGGTTTTGAATCATTAAAACAGACTTGAAAGGAGCGTTGCGCCGCAGTCGGATGGAGAGATGCAGAGTATTGCTAAGGTGATGTGTTGCACAAGCACAGCGAATGTTGGCTGGAGCAGATGGCATATAATAATGCCGCACTGATGAGGCTGGAGGTGCCTTTGCTTCAGGCTCTCGGCTCTGTCATCTCTCACTAGCCAAATAGCACAGGGCTGTTCTTAAAACCCCACCTCACGGTCAGGTTAATAGTGCTGCACCCTGGGATGATGAAACATCGGTTGGACGGCAAGGGAACCGACAGTGTTAAAGCCAAAAGCAGCGTTTTCATCGTCTTGTTCTCCTGTCAGCCTCTCTAACTGGGATTTTAATTACCCGAGTTCTTTTTCAGCGTGATTGAGATTCGAATGGGCAGGAAACAATAGCAGGCAGCCAGATCTGTGTAATTAAAGGTCTCGGTACAGCAGCCGTGGAAGGTTTTCAGTGATACTAATGCCATCCTTCTTTTCTTGAAGGAAAAGCTGCTCTGGAGCTATGCTGAATGCGGTTAGGAATGATCTAAAGCATCAATTCTTCTGTATTGGAGCCTGGAGAAGGAATGATTCTACTTTGCAATGTTTGACTTGTCATCAGGACAAGAACTATTAACTAACGCAAAGTTTCTCCAGCCTTTTGCTATAGCTAAGTATATATCTGTATGTCAATAGCTTTTGCTATAGACAAAAACAAAGGGAAACAAATGAATATATTCCTCCATCGTGGATGAGTATCTGACCTTACGTGTCTTCAATTTTATGGTATCTGTGACGTTTTGTGAGACGCACGTTCCATGGGGAGCAGTAATATCCTCTAAAGAGGAAATGGAATAACAAGTTTTGTTTTAATAAAACCGATATTTCACCTAATAATACAGAGGAGAAGCAGGAAAACAGCATGTGGTTGTGCTGATTCTTGGGGGTTTTGAGATTGTTCCTGAAGACTGTCTCTGGTGTCCGTGTGATGTGGTGTCTAAGACAGCCAGGTACTCCCGAACTGAACGCTAACTCTGCTTAGCCCCGTGTCTTTCGTAGCTGGCTGCCCCTGGCTGGTGATCACGGACTTCGGTTGCTGTTTGGCAGATGAAAACGTCGGCTTGAGACTGCCTTTCACCAGCTCTTACGTGGATCGGGGCGGCAACGGCTGTCTTATGGCACCCGAGGTAAATCCCCCTGTAGTAATGGTTTGCGTTGCTGGTTGTCTGCTTGTCCTGCTGTCGGAACGAAAAGTTTCAGCCCCAGCTGCGGTGCAGGCTGTGATAGGAACTTGAAAAAGGGTGGGATTAGGTCTAGAAGCGGTGGAGGGCATGTGTGCACATCACTTTGCTGTGATTTGTCCCTGAGCACACACCAATACTTGCTTATGTGGTCTCTGCTGGTGTGTGTTCACAGTAATACCTGCTGAAAGCCTCTGCAATCAGATCG